TGCGATTCCTATATTTTTTTTTTAAAAAATACATATCTCCTTTAATATTCTTTAAAGTACTCCCTTAGTTACTGGAAATACATTTAGATTTATTTATTTATTATTTTGATTTATACCCCGCCCTCCCTGCAAGCAGGCTTAGGGCGGCTTTTTGCAACATCTTTGTATATTTTGCACCATCTTCCTTTTCTTTCTTTCTTTCTACTACACATTCTTTTTGTCCATACAAGCAAGGCTCTTTTTGTAGAAAAAGTCCAGCAGGAACTCATTAGCATAATAGGCCACACCCAACATAGTTACTGGAAATACATTTAGATTTATTTATTTATTTATTATTTGGATTTATACCCCGCCCTCCCTGCAAGCAGGCTCAGGGCAGCTTTTTGCACCATCTTTGTATATTTTGCATCATCTTCCTTTTCTTTTTTTCTTTCTACTACACATAATTTTTGTCAACTTCTTTGCATGTTAGGCCGCACACCCCAATGAAGCCAATTCTAATGGATTTCTGCTGTTGGGTGTGGCCTATTATGCTAATGAGTTCCTGCTGGGCGTGGTCAACTTGGAAGCCAGCCGGAACTCCGTTCCTGTGCGTTCCTGCCCAAAAATAGCCCTGCATACAAGCAGCATCTGAGAAGTGTTGTTCTGAAATGGCAGAGCATCTTTGCGATCCAAGCTGTTAGCACACTTAAGTAAGAAAAACAAACTGAGCTTTGTTGAGCAGTCAAGTTAGGGATTCTGGAAGCCTGGCATGCTTCTTTTTGTGTGTTTCCTAGGCATTTTAGATTATGTTCCCACCATTGGTCTTCGGCAGCAGCCGAAACCTCTGCTGCCATCTGGAAATCATTCCACAGCTGGAGTGACATCATCTGGAACCTTGCACAGCATGCAGGTGAAGGCTTTTGCTTTTGGAATGTATATGGGATACTAGGAGACCTGTCTCAAGGTTTCAGGCCCTTTGTTATCTTTACAAGGGAAGGACACAGTTGTGTGCAGTGAACTCTCATTGAAGAGAGGATATAAGCTCGCATCATCATGTACTGGATTATGCCTTAAGAATGTATAAATGGAATAAATTGGATATAAAATTTTTACTTTTTGTGTGCAATCCTATATGAATACAAAGGGTTGCCATCTATTCTATCAGCCCTGCTTTGGTGTTTTTAACAGCCTGATGCATAGAAATTAGCATATAAAAACCTTTCATTTCCCATATTCCCAGGCCATGAAAAGCTAAATTTGTTAAAGGAAAAGGTGACAATTGTTGTTATACATTGGGGTAACTGAATGCTAAGCTTCCAAGCAAAGTATCTTATATTCTAATAGTGAAATCCGAAAATCTATGGATACTTAAATTTGGTGACTGGAGCTGTGAAGGGGTAAGACAGATCTATCAACAAATCAGAAAAGCAGCCCAGATTTGTACAAAAATGTGAAATCTAAAAAAAATAATATATTGGGTTTTTTAAAAAAAATGTGAAAGTGATAAAAGGAGTTCCTGTAGCTTTAAGCAACAGTTTCCCTCAGTGGCTGTTGCTAGGCAACAACAGTGTTCCAGGTTGGGTTTCAGGGAATAAAAGGCATGGGGAGGAGGCAAGGTCCTTTCCCGGCCCATTTTGACCTTTGAGGGAGAACTTATTGGGGCTAGGCCTGCAAGGGTTGCCAGCTCCAGGTTGGGAAATTCCTGGAGATTTTGTGATGGAGTCTGAGGAGGGCAAGGTTTGGGGAGGGGGAAAGGCCTCAGCTGAATATGATGCCATACAGTCCACCCTCCAAAGCACCCATTTTCTCCAGGGGGACAGATCTCTGTTGTCTGGAGTTCAGCTGTAATTATGAGAGATCGTCAAGCCCCACCTGGGGGCTTGCAACCCTACGCCTGAAAGCAAACTCTGAGTGACTTGATACCACTCGACTTGCATGACTCAACTAGGCCTGGCTGCTTGCTACTGTTCAACAGTAGCCACCCTATGAAAGCCAGTGTGGTCTAGTGGTTAGAGCTTCAGAGCAGGGTCTGGGAGACCCAGGTTTGAATCCCCATCTTGCTGTGAAAGCTCTCAGGTAATTTTTGACATGTCACATACTTTCAGCCTAATCTACCTCACAGAGTTGTTGTGCAGATAAAAAAGAAAGGAGAATAATGTATGCTGCTTTGGTCCCCGCTGTGGAGAAAGGTGGGGTATAAATTACATAAATAAATAATAAATATAGCTAAGATGGGAGGCAAATAAAATGTAGGTTGGTGAATGGCTGAGTTTGAGAGAATGGAGCAGGGAACTGTGGCATCGCACAACTGGACCACAGTTTTCCTAGGTAGAGGCTGCTGAGAGGGGGAGAGAGAAAGCTTTGGAGGGTGAATCCTATGGCATTATATGCTGCTGAGGTCACTTCCATCCCCAAACCTCACCTTCCAAAGGCTCCATCCCAAATCTTCAGGAATTCCCAAACCTGGAGCTCACAATCCTTAGGGGAACGGATCTCTGTAGTTGGGTGATCTCTTATGATTTCAGGAGATCTTCAGGCCACACCTAAAGGTTGGCTAGGGTTGCCAGAGGGGAAAATGAGATGCCTCTTGCAAGTCCTTGTGGGTTCCCACTTGTAATTTATATTAATGATAGCACTCTGAAATACTTCATTTCTGAATGAAGGACAAACCAATTAATAAGTCCCTGCCTCCTAAGAATGAGATTTAACAATTAATCTAAAGACACCTTAAAGACTAACAAAGTCATAACCTTTCATTAGTCAGCCTCTACTTCATTACGTGCACTGGCGAATGGAGCTTTCTAGTTGACAGAGGCTTATGCAAAGTAAATGCATTTGGCTTTAAGCTGAATTTTTGCTGTTTCATCTGCAAAAGGCTGCATCTAGCGATAGTCTTTTGCCCCACCGTTCCTCCAAGGAGCATAATACATGGGCCTCTTTCTTTCTAAGGGGCAACTAGACTCAAGTCGGGCTGCTCTCCTTTCCAATGCTATCTACACAATTACCTGGCGAGTTAGGCTAGGCTGAATGGCAGCGACAAGATAAAGGTTACCCGGTAACACTGTGCTACTACATACTGACAACTAGGATTAACAACCTCCAGGGCGGTTCTGGAGATCTCCTGGAACTACAACTGAACTCCAGACGACGGCGATCAGTTCCCCTGGAGAAAATAACTGCTCTGAAGGGTGGACTCTATGGCATTGTACCATGCTGCGTGAGGCCCGTCCCCTCTCCTCCCTCCCCAGGCTCCATCACCAAATCTCCAGGAATTTCTCAATCAAGAGTTGGCAACCCTACCAGTGGAACCCTGGAGTAGAAAAGTGAGTGCAGCAGGCATACTTTGGGGTAGGGATAATCAGCTTTCAGCCAGGGAGAAAACCCCCAGCCCTTGACCGTTATTTTAGTGATAAAATCTGCAGGGAGAATCAGCACTCAGAAACCTTCAACCTGTGGTTGAAGTGGTAGAATCCATTCTACTACCTCACTCCACATTAGGGTTCCCAAGTACTTACCGCGATCCGGCGGGGGAAACATGCTCCCCGGCCGGACCATTCCTCCCTGTAACGCACCATGCCGTCGCCAGGAAGTGACGCTGGGCGACGGTCTGGCAATGGGGCTGAAAACCCGATGGTACCATCGAGTTTCCAGCCCCATTGCCAGACCGTCACCCGGCGTCACTTCCTGGCGACAGCATGGTGCAGCACATCTGTTGTCCCCGTGGGAATGATCCGGCTAAGACGTCTGTGTCCCCCGCCGAATCACGGTAAGTATTTGGGAAGCCTGCTCCACATGGAACGTAGACCAAGAGTAAGCCATTAATATAGGAAGCAGGGCTCTTTTTGTAGAAAAAGCCCAGCAGGAACTCATAAGCATAATAGGCCACACCCAACAGCAGAAACTCATTAGCATAATAGGCCACACCCTGACAGAACCGCTCATTAGCACATTAGGCCACACCCCCATGTTACCAGAAGTGTGGTCATCCAGCCACACCCACCTTTCCCTTCTTATTCTGTTTACCTTGTTTGTTGTCAAAACCAGGGCTTTTTTTGTAGAAGGAACTCCTTTGCATGTTAGGCCACACACCCCGAATGTAGCCAATCCTAATGAGTTTCTGCTGTTGGGTGTGGCCTATTATGCTAATGAGTTCCTGCTGGGCGTGGCCAACTCAGGAGCCAGCCGGAACTCCATTCCTGTGCGTTCCTGCCCAAAAATAGCCCTGATAGGAAGGATGGGTAACATGAAGGTGACTCTGGTCCCAATGGCATTAGTTGCTGATTCACTTCCTGTAGCCTTGAATTCTTAGAAAAGTCAGATTATTACGAGTGCAATATATGCAAATGAAAGAATATAACCCTGCCCTCCTAACCAGAGCTACGGCCTTCTAAGGCAAAGGGTTTAAAAGGATAGAACAAAGTTTGTGTCCAGTGGCACCTTTATGACCAACGAAGTTTAATTCTGGTAAGCTTTCGTGTCCAAACACACTTCTTCAGACACACTGAATCAGATCTCACCAACCATTGCATACAGGTGGTGATGGGGTTAGTTGCCAGGAAGGGCTTAGAAGGATGTAACTCTGCTTAAAATGGCACTGCAAATCTCTCAGTGCATCAGTTTACATTCTATTGTTCAATTCTCCCATGCAAGCCCTACTGAAATGAATGAGAGCTGTAGAAGAGCAAGGATTGTAACCTTTACTGCGACATATGTGATAACGCTCTCATTCTTTGATATAATCCTCCGCCCTTTTAAAATAATCATGCATTACAAAAATAGTGATATGCATCTTTCCTTCTCCTATCACAAAATACAGCACTGAGAAAAATTTCTTCCCTGAAATGACAAGATATTTTAAAAGAGGGAGGCTTTGCAAACAGTCCTTAAGTGGCTCTCTGCCCGTAACTGTAACTGTTATGAAAAAACCTGCACAGAAGCAACATTTTAGTTCCTTCTCTTCCAAATTCGACTGTAACCAAATCACATCAATGCTGGTGTAACTCAGACTGCAATCTCACTTCCTTTAAGAAGAAGAGAAGAGATTGGATTTATACCCCGCCCTTCACTACCCCAAAGGTGTCTCAGAGTGATTTACAATCCCTTTCCCTTCCCCTCCCCACAACAGACACCCTGTTGAGAGAGCTCTCTTAAGAACTGCCCTTGAGAAAACAGCTCTGAAAGAACTTATGATTGACCCAAGATAACACCAGCAGCTGCATGTGGAGAATCAAACCCGGTTCTCCCAGATTAGAGTCCATGCTCCTAGCCACTACACCAAACTGTCTTAAATAATAGCCTACTCTCTATTACATTTTGTACCTTTGGTCCCAGAAATTCTGCCATATGCCAAGTGAGAATAAACTGGTAGCTGCCTGGGTGCTAGGAAGCAAGACAGAAAGCATAACACTTTTTAAAGAAAAAAACCCCACAAATGCAAAAATATAAGGAGGAATTAGCACAGGTGAAAATATCCAACAGGAATAAAAAAAGCCAAGAAGCTCACATGTATGTGCCTCCGGGGGTGTGTCGGCGTGCTGGATGGCGAAGACCCAGAACTGAGAGCGTTCTCAATATCCTGATCCAGCTGGTCCAGTTTCAGAATGAGCAGCACCATAGAGTCCAGTCGTGACTGATCCCGACCCTCTCTCGCTTCCTGAGGACCAGAACACGCAATGACAGAATCTGAAAGGGCATTTCTGAGAAAGAATAAAAAACCCTCTGTTCCCTAATTTAACAAAACAGCATTGAATAATAGCCAGCAACCTCACATTTTGGGGCAAAGGGGGGGGGGGAACCTACACTGTTTTCTCTCATCAATGAGTCGTTCACTGTGAAGGCGGGACTTACTGACAGAGAGGCATTTTGCATGCATCTTAAATATATTTCTGAGTGAGAACGGGGCAACTAAAAAAAGCCTTGTTAACTGTGATCTGACAGAAGCCAAATTGGAGTGAGTGTTACCTATCTGTTATATGACTACCTTGCAGGGCTGTGTGCTGGCTAGCAGTGGCTTATGCATTTCCCCAGCACTAGTTAATTTTCCATATTTAAAAAAATATGCACCTTGGGCAGATGTCAGCATACGCTGCGCTTCTGCCGATTTCCTAGGTCTCTCGGAAATGTAATCCGCTGTTATTAGATCTACTGCTTAGTTTCCTGTGTATTTTTAAAGGGGGCAGCTAACAGTCACCATAACAAACATCAGGCAATCTGTCACAAACCACACAGATATTAGTCTCATTAGATTAACAAAGATCAGTGTTCTTTGGCTAGGTTTCTGCTCAGACTTCGCTACTTTTCCTCTTCTCCCAGCAAATGGGGATTTCAGCATTCTCCCTCTAGCCACACTTCCAGGCACTGGCTGAATGCGTGTGTGTGTGGGGGGGCAGGGTTGGCAGGCCTCTGCTGAGGGGGGGGCGCTGTTGTCTACCTGTTGTCCACCTGCCATCTAGGCAATGATGCAGGCCTGCCCAAGAAGCATTTAGAACCAGGCCAGGGAGAACTAATGAGCAGCCAGAGGGGATCATATTGGAAGCTGAAGCCCTGCTGGAATCATAACAGACACTTCAGCCTCCACTCTGCAGTCTCGAGAGACTCACCCCAAGGCCCGGAGATCAAGAGCATAAGAATACCCCTCTGAATTAGACCAATTGTCATTTGAGCCCAACGTCCTGTTTCTTAAGAGCAGCCAACTAGTAGCCTAGAAGACTGGTAGCAGCGGCACAGAAGCCGACTCCTCTTATTGCCTTTCCACCAGCAGATGACATTCAAAAGTATACTCTCTCTGTACACAGAGTTCCCATTTAGCCATGCTAGCTAATAGCTACTATTCTTTATGAATCTGTCACCTTTTAATGCTATCTGAACCAGTGTTCCCTCTAAGCTGAGTCAGTGTGAGCTAGCTCACAGTTCTTTAGCCTCCGACTCACAGGTTTTTGCCTTAGCTCAGGAAGGAGGGCTCCAGAGCAAGCTAGCTGATGCAGTCGCCAAACTGCTCGCTCACAACTTTAATGCCAGGAGCTCACAAAGTGGAATTTATGCTCACAAGGTTCCGCAGCTTAGAGGGAACATTGATCTGAACTAATGGCCATACCATGCCCCATAGCAGGGAGTTCCACAAGATATCTATGAAGAAGTATTTTCTCTTAACAGTTCTAAATATATTGCCCATTGACTTCATTGTTTTGCTCTGAATTCCAGTACAATGGGAGAAAAACTACTCTGTGGCTGTGATTACACACACTAAATAATCCACTTTCAATGCACTTTCCAACTGGATTTTGAAATCCAATTGGAAAGTGCATTGAAAGTGCATTGAAAATGGATTATTTAGTGTGTGATCACAGCCTGTATTCACTTTCACCAAACAATGCATAATTTTGTAGACTTAACTCATGCCCTGTTTTTAAAAATCAGAGTCTGGCCCAGAGAACAGGGACACTTCATCTAAGTATCTGTAGAACAAACAGCCCCAGAGGGTGCAAGGAAAAGTATAAAGAACTTAAACATTGATTTTACAATAAATAAATTATTTTCTCCCTTAGTACAAAACAAGTCATGATAAGACATGAAGATGTTTTGAGTGCATGCTTCTCACAAGGAAGTCAAACATGCAGTTTGTAAATGACCTCTAATTCATATAATTTGCAGAAACTGCAGATGCTCAATAGCATTTACCAATTTTAAAGCATTCGCGCTACGACTGTATAATCTTAGAATGACACCAATTCTATTTCCATCTTAATAAATACAGGCCATATTGTTTGCTATGTTATATGCATTCCGGCGTTTAGAACAGGAAACTGCACATGCTTTCCTGCACATATTTTTCTATACATTCCATGTCTGGAGGAAAAAGGAAGTATACTCCCTTGGAAGAAGCAAAGCATTCAACTCAAAAGCATTTTGGTAATGTACCAACTACTCAGGAATTCCGTATAGGAGCGGAGTGTTTCTTCATTTATGTCAAATGCCTGTTCAACTGCTAGCAAGATTCAACACTCCTGGTGAGGCAGCAAGCATTGTGTTGTCCTGCAGCAGACACCGTCTGAGACACCTTTGTTCTTAATAAGGAACTATTTATCTTGAAAAGGCTCCTGAAGGTCCCAGTGCAAAACTATGACCGGTGCAATCAAACAACAAAACACTATTTGACTGCATTTAGGCAACATATATAATCATGGCTAAAGAACAGGGCTATTTTTGGGGAGGAACGCACAGGAACGGAATTCCGGCTGGCTCCCAAGTTGGCCACGCCCAGCAGGAACTCATTAGCATAATAAGCCACACCCAACAGCAGAAACTCATTAGGATTGGCTACATTAGGGGTGTGTGGCCTAACATGCAAAGGAGTTCCTGCTACAAAAAAAGGCCCTGGGTTTTGACAACAAACAAGGTAAACAGAATAACAAGCAAAAGGTGGGTGTGGCTGGATAACCACACTTCTGGTAACATGGGGGTGTGGCCTAATGTGCTAATGAGTTGTGTTGTCAGGGGTGTGGCCCAATATGCTAATGAGCTCCTGCTGTTGGGTGTGGCATATTATGCTAATGAGTTCCTGCTGGGCTTTTTCTACAAAAAGAGCCCTGCTAAGGAAAAACATGCATGAACATGGCTTCTTGTTGGGCTCACATGCATGCCTCATTCCATGTTCTTCCCACCCACAAATTGCAGTTGAACACTCATTTTAGTAACACGCGATGTATGAATGCAGCCATGCAGGTTATCCATAAGTAATTTCCTCTGTGCACACTGGGATTCTAAACCTGGATTTAGGATCATGGACGGGAGTGGGGGAACTAGTGTTAACCCACACAGCTAAATTTATACATGATCTGTAATTTAACAAATCCATGTTTAATTGCAATTCATGATGTGAGAAGAGTGGGAAGAAATAAAACAAATGGTACACAGAATTATAGGCCTCAAAATCCCAATGGATCCTGAAAACCTCTTCCTTAAACATTGGCCGCTTCATATTGAAAAACATGTACATAAGCAGACCTTGGATGTTATGATCTATGCTGCACGAACAGCGATTGCTACTTGTTGGAAAGATCCAAATCCTCCCACATTGGGTCTCTGGTATCAAAAGTTGTGGGACCAATTCCTTATGGACTCAGTTACCAACAAACTTAATAGATTAACCCAAAAACCCATAGAAAAACATGTAATGGAAAAATGGGAGCCTATATTGGAATTCTTAACAACAGAAGATTTCTTACCCTCCTCTTGGCAGCAGTTTAGGGAATGGATGTAAACCATCTCCCAACATTGGCAGCAAAAATATAGCTGATTTGCTAGTTGTACATATACTGGATACTTAGTTAGCACCCTTATGCCAAAAGTTTGTTGATCTTTGCTCTACTCCTTGATCTTAGAGTGGAAAGTATAGTCTTCTATTTTTTGAAACAAGCAATTGTATTTTTTCTGATTTTTGATGTTACCTACCTTGATACAAGTTTGCCATTATTGTCATTATTCTGAACTTTTATGTATCCTATTTTATAACGAAAATAAAATTTAATTAAAATTTAAAAAAAATGATGTGAGAAGAGGAGGCAGAAGTGAGGTGCATGTATGAACCCAGTGACAAGGTGGATTGGTGCCCATTTTTCCTTAACCATGGTTATACATGAAGCCTGAATGTAGGCTCACTGATTTCAGCTTGTCTTTGGGCCAAGATATGATTAGGCTCAAAGACAAGTTGAAAGAAGTAAGCGGCATTCAGACGTCATGAAGCACTGTGGCTGAGGACACATTTTGACATCACTGCTACCGCCTGAAAGCAGTGTGTATAATGCTGCATCATAGGGAGACAAAACTGCTGCAGTAAAATGTCAGCGGTAAAACACATTGCCGTACTAAGATTCAACAGCGAGTACCTAAAGCCCAGGAGCCAGCTAGAAGTTAGTCCCTGAACAGTTCAAATTGGAACTGTGGAAAACCGCCTAACTCTATGCCTGAATTGTGGATAAAGTCCTCTTGAGTCTGCCTTCTTACTTTATAAGGCCAATTTATGAGTTAGTGGCTGCTGTAAGATTTGGACCAGGAAGGTGGATTACAATACTGGGATGAGTATGCCAATTTACCTTACAGGGTTGTTGTTAGACTTACGGAAGTAATTTTCCTGAAGAGTCCTGAACCCCATATCTCAGCTACACTGCCAAAGGATTTTAAGAATGGGAGGTAAAATAAAAAAAATAGGGCTTGTTTTCTCTTTTAGTTTCCCCTGCCATTTACAATTTGATAACACAGGTACAAATTCAACAAGGGGAACATCTCCCAGCACACAGATGAAGTTAAGGGGAGATCTGCACCTATTGAGTGTGCCTGAGTAGCTAATAAAGGCACAAGAGCTTTGCTGGGAGAGGGAGGATGCGACTATTTTTTAACGTGCTTCCATGCTTCCATTTTTCCTTCTTCTGGGATGATCAAGGAGACAGGAGACCCTCCAATGTAAGCTGCATAGCTGGTGTCCAGGAATCCAGCTCTGATGAGGCCAATCCCTTCCTCAAGAACAACCCAGGAGTCCTAGCTCACCAGACCAGAAGACAGAGCTCATCTCTGACTACTCTGCTTTGGTAGCATTTCACAGCGAGTTCTCCTGTTCCTCCATGCCCACAAGGATGACCGCAAGACAGGAGGACCTTG